ATTCCATCCAAGTGCCAATTCTGTCGGTTGGTACCACCCAACATTAGAGTGGATCTTCCCCACTTAGTTTCCTGGCCTACAGGCCAATCATCTCTGGAAACACTCTACAGGTATAACTGGAAGTATGCTTTATTAACCTTCTAGATATTCCTTAATTCACTGAAGTTGACAATAATGATTAATGGTCCCACCCTTAGAGATATCTACAATTGCACAAAATGGCCCTGAAATTTAAAGGTCTAAGATAGATTCCATGGATTTAGCAAGGATCAGCATGGACTTAGCTATATTAAGTGTCTCAGTGACACTAATACCACCCTGTGGCAGACACCTTTTGGGAAAGGAAATTGCAGGAGAAAGCCAGGTCAGTGTAACTATTAATGATGATTTCCTTGCAGAGAAGAATGCATAGACATAATGAAACATTTGTTTCATTTCCTGTTAATCACAGTATCATGTACTTCTATGCATATACTCCATGATTTGGTGGAGGGAGGGAAATCATTCAAATAAGAGTACCTGCCAAGTGGATATGGTTCACATGTCTGCAATCCCAGCTACTAAGGAGGTTGAGGCAGGAAGATTGCAAGAGGGAGAGTCGCAAGTTGGAGGACAGTCTGGGCAGCATAGTCAGATTCTGTCCATCTTGAATTAAAGTAAAAAGAAAGAGCCTGGGATGTAGCTTACCACTTATGTTCAATCCACAGTACTGAAAAAAAAAAGAGGATGCATGCCAGATACCAGTGACCCATCTCAGTTTAGGGGTGATTTCAGTGGGCTCCTATACTTATTCCTGAAAACCCCAATGTCCACAAAGGTAGTCACTGGGAATCTCTGTTATATTCAAACTAAAGTAAGTTTGGGGTGAATACTGAGTCTATGCTATTATCCTGAGGAAAACAACATTTTGGGTCTAGTAGATATCCTCAAGTTATATTCAACAAGTACTTTATGACACCAGGAGTTTTGTTAAATAAACCAGTGTTGGCCAGCACAATCTAGAGTTCTGAATGAAACTGGTGTAGATCCAGAAATCCCAGGACAGGTCAAATTTGCTTTTACTCTCTGTGTAGGGAAATATACTAAAGGAACAGATTTATTGGCCTGTATTGCCTGATATTTGGATGCGATTTTAGAAGAAAGGGTGAAGCTAACAAGAAGCCCTGACAGATCATAGAGCCCTGCATAATGGAAAATCAGACCCAACAGTTGATGTGGCAATGCGTTAGGGAGCATAGATGTAAAAGAACATGCACCTGACCATCGAGAGGCAGTGAAATGTGCTCTTCCAGATGGAAACAGGCAGGTCCAGGACAATGGCTGCGTCACTGCAGAAGCAGCATAGTGATGACTCATTAGAGACTTACGATTTCCGTAGTGTACGGAAATTCCTGACTGGAAATCATAACTTATGTATGTGCTCCTTAACTGTCACAGTCCCACACCTAAATAAAAATAGATGTACCTGATAGGGAAGTTAGTTGAAACTTGAAGCCTGTTAAAGCCAAACAATTTTTACTACTAGAGAATAATGAACAGTACTTAAAAATAAGACTGAAAGGAAACCAGCCTTTTCAGTGAAACAGTCCTCTATTTCTTAGTCAAGGCATTGTAAGCATTCTGAGTGCACTTTCAAGTGTATTTTTCATATCATATACAGGATTAATGAAATAACAACTGTTAGATGTATACATGTACATAGCATTCTGTCACAAAATGAGGAGATACTTACCAAAGCAGTTCTTCTACAGCACATATGACTTCGGCTTCAGATTTTGTTCCCTGATCACAACCAATAATGGGTGGGAGCAGATAGGTTTGAAATGGTACTAGCTCAGCAACCTGTAAAGCAGAGCACTAGGCTGGGAAAACAAGCAAACAACCCTGGGAACATAAGGCCAAATTGTTCCTCAAGTTCTGAGGTCTCTAATTTTTGAGTCTTCAGATAGTCTCCTTTGTATTTTTGTACAAGGTGTTATAGTACAGTGAGCAGGAAAGAAAGGTAAACTTTGTTTAATACATGTTTTCCTTTACTGGAAGCCCCACTGAAATCTTCTTATAATCATAACTCAGTATTGTAAGACTCTACTTAACCTTCTAATGGATTGCAGTCAAACTTTGAGTACAGCTCAATACCTCCCCTATGACTTCAGGCCCTCTCCCCTACTCTGGCCTGCCTCTGCGCTTAAGACTACTGCTTGTCAGAATGTTTTCCAATGCAAGGGCACCCTATTGCATTTGCATCAGCAGTTATGAGCTTTCCAATTTCTACATCCTTTCTACTACAGTGGTACCTCAGTTCAAGAACTCAATTCTCTCCATGATTCTGGTTGTAAACCAAACTGGACAAGAATTGAATCAAATTTCCCCATAAGGTGAACACTAAACCTAACTACAGAATTTGATTTGGTTTTCATCCAACTTGGTTTGTGACCAGAATCTTGGAAAGAATCAAGCTTGTGAACCAAGGTACCACTGTCTAGCCATCTTGTGATTGCAAAGTGGTAGTGCCCATCGGGGTTTTGTTTTGCATTTCCCCCATGTTTCCCAATATGGAGCATCTTTTTTTCTGCTTCTTGGCTATTTATTTATCTTGAATATTTGCTCTTTGTATATCTTCTTTAGAAAAATATCTATTTAGTTCCGTTGTATATTTTTATTGGATTATTTCTCATTTAGTATTGGTTTGTAAATGTAAAACAAAATCTATCCAAATGTGAAGAGCTCAGCTGAGATGACAGACCTGAGCTTCCAAGATACTGGAGTAACCAACTAAAGCAAGTCCAAAATGAAATAGTTGGGCCCTTAGTTACTTCCTGAGATGTATGATAAAGAGACCAAAACTTGAAAAAGCACCAACATCCTGTATTTCATTTTCCTTATGGAGTGACGCAAAAGTTAATGAATCAGATGAATCAGATGAATCAGAGCAGATGTGGAGGTTGTCTCTCTGCTCAGGGAGCTGTGAATGAAAGTTTGTCAGCCTTATGAACTGCATGCTGGGGACTGAGCGTGGGCAGGAAATATTAGAAGTACAAAAATACTGGGTATGGAGTCAGAGGGGAATAGTCATCTTCAAGATTTCCTCTTCCATACCCTCCTTGCCTCTGTAAAGAGTTCTTAGACAAGATGCCTGGGAAGAGCTCTGCTCTAGGCCTCAGAGGAATGACCTGAAGAATTTCCATTTGTTTCCTTGCTTAAAAAATATGTTTATTGGGTTATTCTGCACTAGAACTTTGGTTGGGTACTACACTGCCTTCTTGAGGAATTTACAATGCAGTAACTGGAGGTATGTTCCTTTTTTCAAAATAGAGGGACATAAGTGCTACAGCAAATTCACAAATGAAGGACTTCAGGGCTGCAAGAAGGGAAAGCATAAAGGAAAAAAGATGTTTCTGAAAAGGATACAAAAAACCAAGTTGAGGTAAGAGGTCAAAGGTGAGAGATGGCAGCACTGCTCCTTAGGAGAGGCTGACCTTTGACAAACAATCTTGGTGACAGAGACTTCTGTATTTTCCCATGATAATACCTTCACCTTTTCTGACTCTTGCTGTCTCCTTAATGAAAAAGACCAAGGGATTTGAATTTAGGTGAGAGGTGTTTTTTTTTTTTATTTTAAAGATTAAAAAAACTAACAAAGCAACAACAATGAAGACAAAATCAAAACAACACAAAAACAAAAATGATACATGACCTCAAAACGAAACGATAGTATTAACAATGGTTGCTACATTACATAGTGTTATCTTCAATGAAATTGCTCAGTCCACCAGATATAAGAATGTAAGATTGATCAAACAATCAAAGACAGTAACAAGTAATAAAAAAAAGACCAACACTGGAAATGATACAGAGCTTCACTGTACAAGATGGTAGGAGTTCAACAGTGGTTCTTATACTGCATATTGCTGTTTTCAGAACAGTTGTTCTCATTACCAGATATAAGCATGCAAAATTGGTCAAGAAAAAAGCAAATTTTAAGCATTGACTGTTCCTTTCCATCTGTGTTTTCTTCCAGGAGTTGTATAGTTTTAGTTCTTATTCAGAGGTCTTGGATCCACTTGGAGTTAATTTTTATATATAGTATACAGTAAGGGTCATTCTTATTGATGTGGATATGCATTTGTACCAGCATTATGAGAACATCATTCCTAATTTAAGAGTTTTGGCATACTTGTTAAAAACCAATTGACCTTAAATGTGAGGGCTTATGTTTGAAACTAATTTATATTTCATTGATTTACATGTATATCCTTAGCTTGTCTTACAGTGTGCTGGTAAGACAACCAACTGGGTTTTTCGTATACTTTTCAGAAATATTTCATCCAGTTTGCTGGATGAGATATTTGTAGTTGAAAATTTCTTTTTCCTTTTAGTAATTTTAATACATCTTCCACTGCTTTCTGGCCTCCATTGTTTCAATGAGAAATCAATAGATAATCTATTGGTTTACATTTACATGAAGAGTGTTTTCCCCCTCGCCACTTGGGGGAAACATTTTCATCTTTCAATGTTTTTAAATCTGCATTGTTCTACCGCAATGCTTAAAATTTCATCTTTCAACATTTTAAACTACTTGTTTCATCAGAAATACAGTGTATATTTAAACAAAACATGTTCACTACAGTAAAATACACATTACCATTAATCCACCTCAAAATACTCCCCTGTGCTTCAAACACACATCCCATTGTTCTTGCCACTTTTGAAAGCAGTTCTGAAATTCCTCTTTTGAGTGTCTTTTTGTAGCTCCCTCCATGTCTTGACTGAATGAAAAATATTTATGACAATTTTTTCCAAATGAAAACATTATAGTGTGTCCTCACCCATCTTATTCATAATTCCCCTGCTGTGTGACTTCTGGCTCTTGCCCAAAGTTGAAACGACCATGAAAGGTAAACACTTTGAATCAGCCTAGGACATCAAGGCAGCTACAGCAGCACAACTCAAGACACTGATAAAGAAAAAAAGACTTTCAGAACTGCTTCAGCAAGTGGCACGAATGGTGAGATGAATATGTTTAAAGTGATAAGGGCTATTTTGCGGGGTATTAAGGTAATGTGTCTTTTACTGTAATAATTTTTAAAATTTAAACATTCACTGTAGCTTTGATCACATCTCAGACATCTAGGTTTGGGTCTCTGCTTATATCCTAATTAGAATTCTTCGAACATTTTGGATGTACTGATGTAAGTTTCCCTGTATATTTCAGATATTTTCAATTATTATTCCAACATTTTTCGTTCTCTTTATCCTCTCATTTTATGACTGTTACGATGTATACTTAAGAGTGTCCATATTTCCCTGAGATTTTGTTAATTTTTCTTCACTTATACTTTTCTCTGTTTCTTAGAGTGAATATATGTATTGATTTATTTTCAAGTTTGTTGATTATTTCCTCTGCCAGCTCAAATCCAGTTCTAATGAATTATTGTACACTAACTCTAGTATTTCCATTTAGTTCTCTTTTTAAAAATATATTCACCATTTTTATTGCTGTTATCTGTCTAGGGGCATTTTCCTTTGCTGCAAGTGAATAACACAGATGAGGAAATTTGTAAAGAAAAGAGATTGATTGAGCTCATCATTGTGGAGGTCAAAGAGCATGCCAATGGCATCCGCTCAGCACCAAGGGAAGGCCATCCTGCTTGATCATGACATGGTGAGAGAGAGGAAACTTGCTACTTTGAGGCTTTCTTTCTCCTCTCACAAAGCCAATGCCACCGTGCAATCCTGAAGGTTCCCGAATCATGGCCTCACCAAATCCTAATGACTTCCTAAAGGTTCCATCTGCAAATCCTGTTAATATAAGACTTTTAGAATTGAATTTTGGTTGTCTCTTCACCTATGCAGTCTTTGAGCAATTTCCCGGGGTGCTGTATGTGTTAGACTCTGGCCTTCTTGACTTGCTTCTATATTGAAACCTCTGCCCATGAATCAGCCATAGAGAGAGGATGAAAAGGATCTCATCTCCATCTCTATCTCCTGAGGTAAAGCTTCTGCTTTGTGTGTAGAGGGTAGACAGATGAAGGAAGCTGTAAAATGGCTGATTAAATTCACCAAAAATTTATCCTATTCAACTTGGAGGCAGAAAAAGTGAGACTTGTGGGTAGTACACCTGCTCTGATAGGTTAGAATAATTCTTGACCAGGAAGTGTAGAAAGACCATGATACCTGGACTGGAGCATCCACTAAGTTGATCTTAGGAGGGAGGAAAGGAATAGATTAAGGGTCAAACGATATAGACTCCTGCGGTTTCTGCAAAATTCGAGCATATGCTCCAAAAAAATCATTTGGTGCAAGTCTTTCAAACAATTTCCAGAGATTTAAAAATTGTTTGTTTAAAAAGTTTCTCCAGATTGACTCTTTTTTTTTTTTTTTTGGGCCAGGAAATAGGACCACTGAGTTTTTTATGATATCATCTCAAAAATCCATGTTACACCATGTTACACCTTTCAAAACTGTTTCACATTTTGAGTATTTTGGTTTTCACCTCCATATTTTCAGTGGATTTTGGTTTGGGAAATTTTTTATTGGCTTATCCTTAAACTTACCAATTACTTCATCATCCACATCCCATGTACTGGTGAGCCCATCAAAGACATTCTTCATGTCTGTTACAGTATTTTAGTTTTGTAGCATTTCTTCTTGCTTTTAAAAAATAGTTTCCATCTCTTTGATTACATTACTCATTTGTTCTTACATGCTATCCCTCTTTGTTCCATTATAACCTTTAGCATATTAATCATTGTTATTTTTAAATCCCACTCATTGTTTCAAAGTTTTGCCATATTTGAGTCTCGTTCTCATACTTGCTTTATCTCTTCAGATGACAATTCATGTTGCCTTTTTTTAGTCTGTGTTATGCTTAGATGCTCCCTCCAGTCCTCGTGCACTCACAGACCAAATTGTGGGGGTGCTGTAGCTGAAGGTGGTGTTAGGGATTGGGACCTGCCTAGAAGAGGTGGGTCACAGGCACATGATACACTCTGGGAAGGTATATCTCACTCTGCAACTCGGCCCCGCCCTCCCTGCTTCCTGGCTACCATGATGTGAGCAACTTTTCCTCAGCCATGCATCTGTGTCATGCTGTTTCTTTTTTGGAACCAGCCAACCATAGCCTGAGACTTGAGCCCAAATAAACCTCTCCTTTAAGGTGTTCGGGGTATTTTGTGCCAGTGATAAGGAAAATAACTGATACGATATGTCTTATCATTTTTTAGTTAAACTGTGATATTATGCATTGGGAAAACAGTGTGAATCCACAATAATCTGGGTAAAATTTGGATTTTTCTTAACACTTTATTGTAACCTTGTGTTCAGGAGTCTTCAAATTTCTCTGGTGTCTGCTTTTTGGTCTTCCCTATTGAATGAGAGGTTTCCTAAGTATTACCCTTCAGAGAGAGCTCATGTCTTGCAGATGAGCTCTAATCCATTGCTATTTTAATAGGAGCTGTGACGATACAGTTGTAATGTGGGAAGGGAAAAGAACCCTTTCTATCTCCTCTGATTAAATCAGTCTTCCAGTAGACTCGTGTTCCTGGGCTGTGACCTTCACAGGACTTCTTGTTATCCTTGCCCCTTAGCTGTGATGAAGGCTAGAGAGTGAAGTAGTGGAGGAATTACTCTTCTCCCATGTAGGATAAGGCTCTGGTAAAGATTTGTTTCTTTGGAGAATAATTCTTTTGTATGGAGAATGCCTTAGGCGTATTTAATAATTGTTCATCTTTTCCTTTTTACTTTATTTACTAAAGCCAAGAGTGGATCCTTTTCAGTTTTTCACCATCAGACTTCTGTGTGTCTTCTGGAGGTAAAACTAGGGAAAACACAAGGGAGGTCATAAGGTGGCTGCACTCAAAGTTGCTCACAGTCTATCCAGATTAGTCTCCAGGAATTTATCACAATTTCCATTGAAGTGTTACTAGAGTTTAAGTTCAGTGGCCTATGCTTTGCAAGTAAGAAGATTTCAGTGTCTCACCTGTGACTATCTGCAGTCACTTGTCTGACTGGATTTATGGTTGGTTATTTTCCCTACAAACTCAGTGTATTATTCTGCTTTCTGTCACTATAATTAGGCAATTCATATATAAAGAAAAAAATGTTTGTTTTGGCTCAAGTTTCACAGGTTCTAGCCCATGATTGAGTGGCCCCACTGGTTTGGGCTTCTGGTGTGACAGCACATGGTGGGAGTGCACAGTGGAGCAAATCAATGAGCTCATGAACCAGGAAGCAAAGCCAGACCGGAGGAGGAAGAGATCAGGATCTCACAATCTTCTTCAAGGGCTGCCTTCAGTGACCTGGGTACCTCCTACGGGGCCCCATTTCCTACCAGTTGTGCTACCTGGATGCCAAGCTGTTAAAACATGGACCCTAGGAAACCTTTATCTAAACCATAACGCTCAGTTTTCTGATGGTTTCCAAAAGAGTTCATTTTTAGTTCAACTTTTTCTTGTGGTAAAGATGAAAGGTGGGGCTGGGGATGTAGCTCAGTGGCACAGTGCCTGCCTGGCAAGCACCAGGTCCTGAGTTAGAGTCCCAGTACCCCATTCCCCCACAAGAAGGTGGAAGATGATTTCCAAGCTTTGGGTCAGAGATAGTGGAAGAAATATTTTGAAGTGTGGCTTCTTAGTGTGTAAAGCTGTATTCTGTATTTTTCAGGGTAGATGCATCATTCCCTTTGAAAACATTCCCTATCATTCAGATTTTATTTTTCTTTCTTTATTTTTCCTGGTTGGAGGTGGCTGATGGGGTATTTCATGTCAGTACAGGAAATGTGGGTTGCAGTTTAGAATTTAAATCTCAATTCAAAATATGGGGGTTTGAATTCTGGCTCTACTTTTCTAGCTGTACTTGAGACCTTTCATCTTGTTCCTTAGTTTCTTCAATGTAAGATAAGGTCAAAATAAGAGTTTTTTTCTCAAAAGCAAGATAAGTTGTGTTAATACATACAAACATTAAAACCATAATTAGTACAAAATAAATATTAAATATTGGCGACTATGAGTTTCACAAAGGTTAATCTGTTTCTTTCTTGGTCTGAGAGTATCATTATGTTTTTAAGATGCCTCGCTGCATCTTTAGAGTTCAGAGACTGGGCTCGGTTTGGCATAAGAGTTAATGGAAGTCACCAGACAATTTCAAGTCATGAGGCTTGGGTATAGCAAAGGGTTTTCTAATTGAGAGACACGCCTTTGTCCCTAAAAACACAGGGCACATGTCCAACAGCTTTGTTTTATTTTGTTGAAATTATTGTGTGTTTGAAGAATTATCTTCATGGATAGTTTATGGATTCTGGAAAATTCCCCACAACAAGACTCTTTGATCCACAAGAGTTTGTTTTTCATTTTAAAAACAAAACAAAATTTAAAAAAAAAATCACCCCCAATAACAACAACAAAAATCCAGTACAAAATTCCAAAGTAAAAGTTTTGAGGAGTTTTGAGGATTTATTCTTCTTCCTAGAAAACATCTCAATGCTATGACAAATAAAACTACATCGATGTGATTGAGAACATAACCTAGGCCCTTCAAGAGAAGTGGAGGTGCCATAAATGGAAGGATAGGAGTCTGTTCTGATTGGATTGCTTCCATATTGGATTTTTGTCCATGCCACAACTGCCTAAAATTAAGCATGAACTTGAAAAAAAAGGTTTGTCTTCAATGGTATATGACCTTACATACTTCTCTGATGAGCTTTATCTAAACGTTGTCTGTCACTTCCACCATCATCACTAAAAAAAATTATTAAGTGCTCCTAAATTGCACAGAAGAATTTGGGAGATTTATGTTGCATCTCAGAGAACTAAATTTTTACTCATGAAATTTCAGGATAAATGGAGCTTATCTACTCTGTAATTATGGTAAAGTTCTAGTCTACAGAACATTAAAAAAATGAATAATCGTTTCCAGATCTAGCTGCAAAACTATTCTGCAAGTGTGTGCATGCTCTACCTCTACCTGTGTGTGAAATCAAAGCCTAACAACTCCAACAAGACAGAGCCACACTGTGGAAGAAGGCCAGTCTCTGAATTATTTTTCGTCAGGCTGAACCCCAGCAGCAACCCAAGTCATCTGTTAAGGAAAATCTTTGGTAGACTTTGTGCAATCAGGAAATGTATTTTATTGTACTCAAGGTTTTGTAGTACAGCCATTATCATTAAGCAATATTCATACAGAGAATGAAATCTCAGAGAGTTGAAATAATTTATTTTGGGTGGTGTGTGAATTTGGGCCTGAATTGCAACTAGAAATTTCTGACTCCAAGTTTGGTGTCCTTTGATTTTCACTATACTTCCTCCACTACTCAGTCTTAACCAGTTGTGTAAAAGGAAACATGGAATATGAAAATGAGCACTGAGCTATTTCATACGTAGTAGTTCCTCTCAATTTTCGCCTCTCTGCATTCAAAAATCGTGCTTACTGAATTATAAGAGACTCATCCCTGGAGCTGTTGCTACTGCTCTTTCCAAAATAGTGTCTGAAACTGCAGGTTTCAAAAGGTGTGGCTAGAAGTCGAGGGAGCTACATTTAGATATTAGACAATTTCCAGATCATAAGAATTGCCGCTAACTCTTTCATGAACTCAGTCTATTTTCCATTCCCAGAGGTCAAATCTTCTTCTGGACTAAAATGACATGAATATGAAATTAAGAATATTTAAAA